AAATCTAACAGAAAATCTGACTCTAAAGTTTTGCAGGCAGTTGAAGAAACATTTGATGGGTCCTCATCAGAAGAAGACGAACTTTCCCTCCTCTCTAGAAGAGTGAACCAACTATGGAAGCAGAGGCAAAGGAAGTTCAGGAATCCCAGAAGATCTGATCAGAATGAGTCCTCTTCCAGATACAGAAGGTCAGACTCTTCCTCTGGATACAGAAGATCTGAAGGCTCTTCAGGAAGCAGAAAGCCAAACACCAAGGACATCACTTGCTATGAATGCAACGAGCAAGGACACTATAAGAGTGACTGTCCAAAGCTTCAGAGGGAAAAGCCCAAAAAGAAGTTTGGAAGAGAAAAGAAGAAAAGTCTCATGGCTACATGGGATGACTCTGACTCGTCTGAAGCTGACTCAGAATCAGATGATGAGAGAGCAAACATAGCTCTCATGGCCAACATATCAGAAGACAGTGAAGCTTCTGAATCAGACTCAGAATCAGACACTGAAGAGGTATTTCCTGACTTTGCAATCAATTTTACTAAGGCTGAACTTGCTGAAAGCCTTAACGAAATTCTGGAAAGGTACCAGCAGATCAGAGTTAAATTCAGAAACCTGAAAAGGAATCTTGACTCTGACTCTGACAAAACTGAGAGTCTCAAATTGGAAAATTCTGAGTTGAAAAATAAAATTTCAAAATTAGAAAATGTTTTACAAAACTCTCAGAAGGAAACAATTTCTGAAACTCCCAGCAGCGCTGATGAGATCATCAAGGAGTATGATCATAACTTTCAGAAGTTCCTTGCTAAAAGCATAGATAGAAGCAAAATGGCTTCAATGATCTATGGAGTTAGCAGAAACGACAGAAAGGGAATAGGATACCAAGGTAAGGTTCCTACACCAAAGAATGCCATGGATTTAACTATTAAACACACTCCTCTGAATTCACACTTTGTGTATGGTCACACACATGACATTAAATATACTAGTGGTATTTATTCTGTGAAACCAAAATTCAACCAGAGTTTTGGTAAAGCTAACAAATCAGGACCCAAGAAAATATGGGTACCTAAGGATAAAATAATGCATGTTGTAGATATCTTTAGCAGCAAATCAGAAACACCAGTCATGGTACCTGGACTCTGGCTGCTCACGACACATGACGGGAAGAAGGCATATGTTCCAAAGCCTGGAACTTAAGCCTGGAGGCCACGTAGGCTTTGGAGGCAATTAGAGGGGAAAGATCATTGGCTCTGGAACTGTAGGTAATGGAAATCTTCCCTCTATAAACAATGTTCTGTTAGTAGATGGATTAATGCATAATCTGTTATCCATAAGTCAATTAAGTGATAACGGTTATGATATAATCTTTAATCAAAAATCATGTAAAGCTGTTAGTCAGAAAGATGAGACTATCCTATTTAATGGAAAGAGGAAAAACAACATTTATAAAATCAAACTTTCTGAACTGAAAAGTCAGAATGTAAAGTGTCTTCTGTCTGTTAATAACGAGCAATGGATCTGGCACAGAAGATTGGGGCATGTTAGTATGAGAAGAATATCTCAGATTAACAAACTCAATCTGGTCAGAGGACTTCCTAATCTGAAGTTCAATTCAGATGCTCTGTGTGAAGCATGTCAGAAAGGCAAGTTTGCAAAACCCTCCTTCAAATCTAAAAATGTTGTTTCTACCTCTAAGCCATTAGAACTTCTGCACATTGACTTATTTGGACCAGTTAAAACTGCTTCAGTCAGTGGCAAGAAGTATGGGTAAGTAATCGTAGATGACTATAGCAGATGGACATGGGTAAAGTTCTTAAGACACAAGGACGAGTCACACTCTGTGTTTGTCACCTTCTGTAACCAAGTTCAGAATGAAAAGGATCTTAGAATCGTTAAAGTCGGAAGTGATCATGGTGGAGAGTTTGAAAACAAAGATTTTGAGTCATTCTTTAATGACAAAGGCATTCTGCATGATTTCTCTTGTCCTAGAACTCCCCAGCAAAATGGAGTTGTAGAACGAAAGAACATAACATTGCAAGAAATGGCCAGAACCATGATCAATGAGACAAACGTTGCTAAGATCTTCTGGGCAGAGGCAATAAACACAGCGTGCTACATTCATAATAGAATCTCCATAAGACCTATTCTGGAAAAGACTCCATATGAATTATGGAAGAACAGAAAGCCCAACATTTCATATTTTCATCCATTTGGATGTATTTGTTTTATGTTAAATACAAAAAATTATTTGAACAAGTTTGACTCTAAAGCACAGAAGTGTATTATGTTAGGATACTGTGAACGCTCAATAGGGTACAAAGTATACAATACAGAAACACAGATTGTGGAAGAATCAATCAGTGTTTATTTTAATGATAAGCTTGACTCTGAAAAGTCAAAGCAGAATGAAGTTTTTGCAGGTATGGAAGTTGAATTTACAGGTTCTGAAGACAAGTCATCAGAAGCTCTCAATAAAGACACTCCTTCAACATATGAAAGGAGCACTGCAAGTAATCCAGCAACAACTGCTGATCAACCTCAGAAAAGACTACCCAGAAGCAGCATGGATCACCCAGAAGAAACTATCTTAGGAAGAAAGGAAGATCCAATCAGAACAAGAGCCAGCTTTAGAAACTCTGAAGAATCCCTCATGGGACTTGTTTCTCTGATTGAACCTTCCTCAATTGATGAATCACTTCTGGACAACGAATGGATTCTAGCAATGTAAGAAGAGCTGAATCAATTCACCAGAAATGACGTATGGGATCTTATTCCCAAACCAAAAGGATTCAACGTCATTGGAACAAAATGGGTGTTCAGAAACAAGCTGAACGAACAAGGTGAAGTTATCAGAAACAAAGCACGACTGGTAGCACAAGGTTATAGTCAGTAAGAGGGGATAGACTATACATAAACCTTTGCCCCAGTCGCCAGGTTAGAATCTATCAGACTTTTAATTTTGTTTGCTGTTAATAAAGGCATCACTCTGTATCAGATGGATGTCAAGAGTGCATTCTTAAATGGATATATAGAAGAAGAGGTTTATGTGCACCAACCCCCTGGTTTTGAAAATACAAAAAATCCAGAATATGTTTTCAAACTAAAGAAGTCACTATATGGTCTGAAACAAGCTCCCAGAGCTTGGTATGAAAAACTAAGTAACTTTCTGTTAGAAAAAGAATTCACCAGAGGAAAGGTGGACACTACCTTATTCTGTAAGTCAGTTAAGAATGACATCTTAGTTTGTCAAATTTATGTTGACAATATTATTTTTGGATCTACTAATCCTTCTCTTGGAAGAAAATTTGCTAAGTGTATGCAGGCAAAATTTGAGATGAGCCTCATGGGAGAACTGAAATTCTTTCTGGGAATTCAGATCAATCAAAATCCAGAGGGAACTTACATTCATCAGAGCAAATATGTCAGAGAACTTCTGAAGAAATTTGACCTCTCAGAATGTAAGTCATCAAAGATTCCAATGCATCCCACGTGCATTCTGGAAAGAGAAGAGGTAAGCAAAAAGGTAGAACAGAAGGTCTACAGAGGTATGATTGGTTCTCTTTTTTATCTGACGGCTTCAAGGCCTGATATTTTATTCAGCGTATGTATTTGTGCAAGATTCTAATCAGATCCTAGAGAATCTCACTTAACAACTGTTAAGCGAATTTTTAAGTATCTGAAAGGTACTACTAATCTGGGTTTATTTTATAGAAAATCTAGTGATTACAGCTTAGTAGGTTATTATGATGCTGACTTTGCTGGAGACAAAGTAGAGCGTAAAAGTACTTCTGGAAGCTGCCAGTTTCTGCGAGAAAATCTGATCTCTTGGTCCAGCAAAAGGCAATCCACAATTGCGCTATCAACAGCAGAAGCTGAGTACATAGCAGCAGCTGGATGCAGCACACAAATGCTCTGGATGAAAAGTCAGCTTGAAGACTTCCAGATCTTTGAGAGTAACATCCCTATACTCTGTGACAATACTTCTGCCATTTGCTTAAGTAAAAATCCAATCTTGCATTCTAGGGCTAAGCATATAGAAATAAAACATCATTTCATTAGGGACTATATTCAGAAAGGCATTTTAAACTTAAAATTTATTGATACAGACCATCAATGGGCTGATATCTTCACTAAACCACTTTCTGAAGATAGGTTCAACTTCATTCTGAAACATCTCAGCATGAAGCTCTGCCCAGAGTGAAAATGTTTTAATTCTATATATTAACCTTCAGAATGTGTTTTATTTTACTGTGAACTTCTGATCAATCTTCTTTCAGAAAGTTAGACATGCAGATTGTATCAGAGTCTATCCATAAAGATCTGAGTGTCTCATTTCAAGGATAGATGTGCTGTTCACCAAATCAAACAAGTGTCATCCAGTCATCACTACAAGAAAATTAGTGTTTAACGACACAAAAATTCGACAGTTATGTGATAACTGTCGTAATTGACATATAGAGACAGTGTTTACGATAGTTGACACCAACCGTCCCTAATATTTATTTTGCGACAGTATATTTAACCATCATAATATTATTATTACGACGGTAAAACAACCGTCGGCCCCCATTTAACACTTTTAACATTGATTTTTCACCAACAACTAGTCACGGCGGTAAAATTAACCGTCCTAAAAGGTATATCACGACGGTAAAGCACTCGTCGCACCCTTAAACCTTTCACGACGGTAAAATTATCCGTCCTAAAATTCATTTCACGACGGTAAAACAACCGTCGCACCCAAAACCTTTAAAAATTCTCATGGGCACGACGGTAAAACACCCGTCGTCGTAAAAAAGTTAAAAAGCTCTTAAAATACATAAAACATCAATTCACTTTCTACTCCTGCGTTCACTTTTTCTACTCACGGTGCCGTTCATTCCGTTCTTCTTCACACCGAAAGAAACCCCTTGACACCGAATATAAATAGAATTGGAATTGGAATTCACTTTCAATATTCTTCTCTCTCCCCACCGCTCGATTCTAGCCTCCGGAAAGGTGGGTGGATGAGCATTGGCTTCCAGATCTTGCGTTCCAAGTTCTTTTCTGCGGTTTCCTCTATTCGGAACCCTGGAGGGGCAATTCGGTCATATGGGTTACCAGCGGCCATGGTGGTTATCATAGTCCTGATGTTGATGAAGAGGAAGGAGAGTAGGAGGAACCTCACACCCAATCAGTCCCGTCTTCTGCAAATCATTCTGGAGAAAGATGGGGTTCGTTCTAATTCTATTTCTTTTCTTTTTTGCATTTTCTTTTTCATTACAATTTCAGCATTTTTATGCATTTATGCTATGTTACATTACATATCTATATTATGCAGTTGGCTAGTATACGATAGTTTAAATTTCTATGGTTCTTCCTTAAGATAAAGTTATACATGTTTATAGATACTAAACTTAGTAACTTTAACTAATGCAACAAGCTACTTGTTTCAAAAATTATACTTGTTTCAAGACTCTATTAATACTTCTTATTGTATAAGTGTTTCTTTAACTACTCTTAAAATGTTTTAACTTTAAGGGGTAATTTCGGATTTTTAGAGAGGAAGATAGCGAGACAAAAACCGCTCCAGGCCAAGAACCGCTCCCCGCTACGGGCTATTTACCCTATAACGGCCACTATAGTGTTTTTCATTGCTAAGACTCTTTCCGTAGAGGCCAGTCTCTGCTCTGCTATAGTGGATAGCGCTGCTATTGACTTCTCTGCGCATGATAACCTTGTCTTGTTTAATATTTTGTTTTCTTGTCTTGTTTAATATTTTGTTTTATTCTACTCGGCTACATTCTTCTCTAGATTGAGTCCGTAGTTTGCATTTTTGCAGTGTGCACAAATAGAAGATCCAATATTTTGATCACGTTTGTCTGTCTTAGTTTCTATTAGTTCATTGACCTCTACAAATACAATCATGTTTGTCTTTCTCTACTTTCTGTTTATTCATTCTCTCACTTGAAGCCTTTTTCTTTTTGGAGATTCTTGACTGTCCTCTATTTCTCTGGTGTTTGTTTGCTGACTCTGATTGTTTTATTTACAGAAAATTGCCCAACTTTTGCACCAGATTACACAAATGAATGAAATACTGATAGATAGTCACAAAGCTTTGGCTGGAAAAGTGGTTAAATGATTGGCTAAGGTTCGTGAACACGTTAGCTATTGTAAAGCACATTCATGAAGGGTTTTCTTCATTACACTTTGAATTACCACTACTTACAGTTGTACTTGCAATTTGTTTGGTTCTACAGGTGTTAGTTAGGGATGTAAATTGACTAAAAAGAACTAGTTGTGGTTCTCGGTGTATATTTTCTGCGACAGAAGAGTGGATCAAATATGAACTAAGAAGTGTTTTCATCTCAAAACATATTCAAAGATAATGGCAGGTGAATGAATTGCAAACTTGGGGTTTTTATCATTAATACCGAAAAACTAACCGTCCTCAAGCTGGCATGATTTGTGAATGATCGATCCTTTCGGTGGCAGACCATGGAATTTAGGTAGGGAAGCTAGTAGAGCACACTCTTAAGTCTAATTGTACTAATTGTTAGGCAGATTCTCCTTGCTCCAATATTTAGCACTTGTTTCATTTGTAAAAACTCTTCATATCAAATTGATGACTCCAGCATTATTGTTTAACTTTGAAAGTCTAAAACTTTGTTTTCTTGAACAAAAGTTTATTTTTGTTGCTTTTAGCTTCTTTCTTTTAAAATAAAAGAGGCTCTGTCTTATTTTATTTTCATGAAATTCTTGAGCATATAATGTTAGGTTTGATTTGAGATTCATGTGTATGAAAAAAATTATGCAGAAAAGTTTGTCTGATATTATCTACTTATCTAATGTTGAAGAAATACTTCCTTAAAAATAAAGAAACAATGACATTTTTCAAAAAAAGTGTCTAACAAATCATTTGATTTTAAAACCTAAACTAAATTATAAAGAGATTAAAAATAACAGTGCTTAGTAACTCATATCAAACTATAATTGTGGATAATGTGGCGCGAGTATAGGTCATTGCTTAAAAAATCAGACTGGCTTATTAAACAGGTTGAAGCAAGTACAGATTATGTATCAGACTGGCTTATTAAACAGGTTGAAGCAAGTACAGATTATGTATTCAAATTAGTGAAAATAGGTCGAACCGGTTCAAATGATAATTAAACAGAAACCAGTTGTTACTTCATGTATCAAATTCAAAAAACTTCAAGAGGGAATGTAAGTATATTAAGTTGAATTCATACCCCAAAAGAGAAAATTCAGTAGGAGTTCAGTATACAGCAGCAGATCAGCAAGCAAATATAAATGGATGGTAGAGAATTGAAATTCTCAGGTAGGCAGGTAGCATTGTATTTCTGTATTGTGGACATGTCTGTTTCAATCAAAGACAATTTTTCTAGTTCTAAGTAGCCAGTATTGTTTTTGTTTCACTTGTTGTCACCTTTACCTTTGTCAATATGCAAGTGTTTTCTCATTCAATGTTTGGTTATAGCTTAGTACTCGATTGCCTCACCATTCATCATTATGCTATCTATTCTTTATTATTATTATCACATTAAGTGTCCTAGCGAATGGTAAAAACAATAAACAAAAACTTTTTTTTTGTGAGCAGGCGTTAGGTTTTGTGCTTATTGACAGTGCTTTTTATCTTTCTTGCATGTCCTAGATTTAAACATGTACTTTATGGCTTGACTTATCTAATATACCTGCAGATGGAGAAAAGTGCTGCACTTTTTAGGCCAAAATTAATAGTTGCCGGTGCTAGTGCTTATGCCCGCCTTTATGATTATGCACGTATTCGCAAGGTAAGCTATATCTGATTATAGAAACTTAGATATTTTATGTTCTTAACATTGTAGTGATGATATTGTGTCTTTCACATTTGAATTGTTTTACTCCTGCGTTCACTTTTTCTACTTTCTACTCATGCGTTCACTTTTTCTACTCACGGGTTCACTTTTTCTACTCCTGCGTTCACTTTTTCTACTCACGGTGCCGTTCATGCTGTTCTTCTTCACACCGAAAGAAACCCCTTGACACCGAAAGGAATCTCTTCAAACCGCTCATCTTCACACCAAAAAACGCACATCAAGCAGTTTAACATCCTCTGCGTTCATCTCTTCAAACACAGTAAGTTTTATGTATCACTTTTTGCATTGTTCTCATCTCTCTCATTCTCTTCCATTGATTTCAGCATTGGAGATTCACTGGAATCTTATGGTTGAGCTCTTTGTGATGATTGATTTTGAGTTTGAATATATTGAATTGATGTTAGGTTTTCTAATTTGTTGTTTTAGGGTTTTATTTCTTTTTATGATTTTTTAGGTTTTCTAATTTGTTGTTTTAAGGTTTGATTTGATTATTAGATTAAATATGTCGCTGGACCGATTAGAATCGATGAAAATAGGGCACTCTATTAATTTGAGTAAGGTTAATTTCTCGCATGAAGAGCGGGCCTTCTACAAAAAGTTGGAAGCTGATTCACGTTCTCAATTTAAAGTTTATTTCTTTTCAAATTTCTTATATTAACTTGGACATACTGTAATGATACTGTTTGTCTTTTCTTTTTTAAATTAGTGTCTAGAAATTTATTTTGACAGTGGGCATGTCAATTACGAATTATATGATTTTGTTCATCTGATATTTCTACACTGATGGATGTTCTCAGTTTGTAATTTTGAAAAGTAATGCTTGTAATTTGCAGGCATATGCTGCTGCCGTACAGTGAATCAAAACTATGCAAATATTCTTTTGATGCTTTTACGTCTCCGTCAGGCTTGTGATCACCCACTTCTTGTTAAAGAATACAATTCTGATCCTGTTGGAAAAGATTCTGTTGAAATGGCAAAAAGGCTTCCAAAAGAGATGCTGATAAATCTGTTTAATAGTTTGGAAACAACTGCCGCTATATGTTTTGTCTGCAATGTAAGTTAATTCTGATTTGATAATTTCATTATTTGTTTCTTTGTTGCAATTATTCCTTCTAAGAGCGTCATCTGATATAGATCATTTTGATCGTATCTTACCAGTCTTTCTCTTCCTATGGTACATGTTTTGTTTATATGTTTAATAAATAACATTATTAGGAACACTTCTCTATGGTTTGAAATATGATGAAGTTTGTGAATAAATAACATTAGTAGGAACAATTAATAATTGGGAATATGGCCTCAATACAAAGAACTAGCTTTCTTGTTATTTTCTTTTCTTCTGATACATGATATAGTAGTACATGATAAGCTTGGTAGACTCTGCTGTTAGTAATTGGTTTAATCTATTTAATGACTCAGTTATTTATTTTGCCTTGCCTGTGTTAAATACTTGAGTAGAGGCCAGAGAATAAGCTTGGAGATGATGAAACGTGGGATAGGGCTGAAAGTGCTCTCAAGGAGGCTTTGGATGAGTTTGGCAAGCCATGGCAGGTATATGCTTTTCATGTTTTGAATTCAATTATATGTTTCTTGATACTATTTTTTATATTCTCATACATTCTTTTATTTTTTGTATATCTGTTTTATTATTTTCAATGTAATGCATCATTTGTTAACTTCAATTATGTGCTTATAATCCAAATAAAACTCTGCAGTTGAATGAAGGGGATGGTGCATTCTATGGACCAAAGATAGATATCAGTGTATCTGATGCATTGAGTAGGAAATTCCAGTGTGCAACTCTACAGGTTTACACTCTTTGGCTTGACTTGCATTCACATGGTTCAGTTGTTAATTATTTTTACTGATAATTGGATAAATTGGCTCCTTGCAGCTTGACTTCCAGCTTCCTGATCGTTTTAAGTTGGAATTCTCAGCTGAGGATGAAGCCAAAATTGAGAGGCCTGTTATGATACACAGAGCCATTCTAGGATCAGTTGAACGCATGTTTGCCATACTTTTAGAGCACTACAAGGGTAAATGGCCCTTCTGGCTCAGTCCTCGTCAAGCAATTTTGTGCCCCGTTTCTGAGAAATCATAAGCTTATGCTCTGAAGGTACACATCTCTGTTTCCTAACTTTAGTCTGTCTATATTTATCGAAGTCATATGATAACAGTTAGGATGGGGTGATGATGTGTACAATTGCATCAAATCCTTGAACCAATTTGTTTATTTTGAGTCGCAACAAGCCTTTTTAGATATACTTTTTATGTGGTAGCTTCTTCATGAAGTTTGAGCAATCTTCCTTGAATAGTTCTATTACCTAACTTTGTTATTGTTCTAATTCTATTTTTGTTGGATACTAATATTTTGACTTGAAAAGCCAGGTGCTGATGATTTTATAACATTTTTGTGCTGTAATTTTCTAGGTTCGAGATCAGATTCACCAAGCAGGATATCATGTAGATGCTGATACAACTGATAGGAAGATTCAGAAGAAGGTATCACATATCTTTAGAACCAATAAATTTTTATTTATTGCTTCATGCTATCCATTCACTGGAAAATAATGCTATCACGCTGTCATTCATTCACGGGAAAATTTGTCAGTTAATTATGTTCAAATACTGTAAGTGTTGAAACTAGGCTGTTTGCCAGTGAATATGGCCCCAGTTAATAATGAATAACAATCCTTACCATTGCTCAATGTACTGCTTTCTTATTATTCATGGCAAAAATGTCAAAATTATATACCAACAATATTATTCAAGTCCAATTGCAATAGTTTGTGCCACCTCCTAGTTTGTGCCAACTTCTTTTTACGTATATATGGAAGTCCATGATTTGATCAAGAGGTTCTCCCCCAATATATTATTCTTGTTATATAAACAATAGCTCAATTTTTTCTTTTTCATGTGCAGAAAAAATTACAAGCTGCAATTAAGGATTCTGTGTCTGAAAATGAGGCATTTCAGAAAGTATTTGGAAAAGAAAAGCATGGATATGTTCGTAGTATGGGACTTGGAGTTACACCATCTCAAATTAATAGATCTACGAGATCGACATCTTCTTCTGCAGAAAGTGAACAAATAAAGGAAATGCAAGAAGAAATTAATGCACTTAAAGAAAAGAATTCAAAAATTGATGAATTAACACAGGCAATCATATTCTTAACGCAAAGGGACAAGGCGAGGACAAAGGAAATTGAACTCTTAATGCAAATGCAGAATTTTAGTGGAAGACAGGTATATTATTTTGACGCATTTAAAGTTAAATTTTATGAGTATTATTTTAAAGATTATTATTTTAATACCTTTTTTTAGGGATTGGAATCACCCGCTGATGGTAGACGTTCATCTGAGTCTAGCTACCGTATTGGAGATAATGGAACTTCAGGGGGGACAAATTAGACTTTGCTATGATCGAGATAATTAGATTGTGAACTTTCTCATGTATTTTTGGCATAATGATACTTATTATTATAAGATTAGGAATTGATATATTTTGGGTTTTTTGTACTACTTGACATGATTATGGAACTCGCATTTTACATGATTATGGAACACACATTTTTTTGGATATTATAATGCTTATTTGATGTTAAATATTTTTTATTGAAATTATTTTTACTATATTACAAAGTGATAGAAAATAAAACAAAAAATAATACTATAAATAAATATATTAAAGAAGAAATAATTTAAAGAAAAAAATAACACAAAAAAAAAACTATATTTAAAATTTTTTACATAGATAATAATTTAAATAAAAAATATATATAATAGAAAAATAAAAAAAAATCAAGACATAAACAAAAGTCATGGCGACAGTACCGAACCGTCATAATCAACAATTAAAAATAATCAACAAAAGTCATGACGGTATCGAACCGTCGCCATAAACAATTTAATCAATTTCAAAAGATATTCACGACAGTATCGAACCGTCGCCATCAATAATTAAAAGAAACTCAAAAGATAGTCACGACGGTATCAAACAGTCACCAATACTTGATTATGTCAGCTCCAAACCCGTCGTAAACTTGAACGACAGTTTTTGTAACCGTCGCAAAATAGGTTGGGGACACACACTTCTGCGACGGTAAAGCAACCGTCGTGGAAAGCAAATTGTGACGGTTTTAACCGTCATAATCTACAAAAATACATGTCGCAATCTGCCAATTTTCTTGTAGTGCATCAGCTAATCTCTGAAGCAGAACACGCGTGCACGCTTCTGAGAAGGCAAAGCGCTGATTGGATGCATTGAGACACATGTCACTGGTAACTGTTCCAAATATCTTTCTCAAATCCCCCAAAATCAGCAAACATTAAATGCGTATAATCATGAGTTAAATTGTAATCATGAGTTAATTCTCTCTCTTAAAATCGTTTACGTTTTCAAAACATCTTTTGAAATCTATTTAAACGCCTTAACATCATTCATTAAATTTTTACCGTCTCTTGCAATCATCTAAATTTTTTTTCTGCATTCTTACTTGTGTGTTCATCTTTTTCCAAAGAAACCCTTCTTCAAGTTTTTCTCAAAGAAACCCTAGTGTGAACATGGCAACTTCTAGCACTGTTTCTGCAGGTTCCCAGCAAGAGGCTTCATCTGAACAATATCAAATTCCCTTCAGAACTCTACTTACTCTGGTGAAGAACCTGGAAGTTTTGTCTGAATTGATCGTTGATTTCAACAGTCTGAAAGAAAATGGCTTCGATTTGACTGAAGAAATTAGGGCACAAGGATGGGAGAAGTATTTTGATAGATTGGTGGGTCCAACATTCCCCATTCTGGTTAAAGAGTTCTGGATTCATGCTTCTGCTTCAACTCATCAGGTTACATCGTACATCATGGGAAAGAAGATAGTGATCACTGAGGATCACATTGCTAGACTGATTGGATACAACGGTGGTGGCATCCGCTGTATTGACATGGCAGAAAGAGCTGGAAACACTGGCATTGTTGCTAGACAGATTTTCACTCATGGGGTTCCCAGCAGCAAGATCAGAGACTTGATGGATCAGCACAGAATCTGGGCAAAGATCATCTTGGGCTGCTTCAACCACAGGAAGCCCACAAGCTCTCCTGACTACATCAACATAGATCAGCAATTTCTGCTCTATTTTATTGCAAAGAAGACCAAGATCAACCTTGCTCATCTTCTGTTCAATCATCTGAAGACCAGCGTCAAGGAGACGAGAGAAGAAGAAAAGACTAAAAGGGATTGGATACCCTTCGGAAGATTAATATCAGATATTCTGACTGAGAATAGGCTGATAGAACACCTGACAGAGGCTCAGGAAATAAGCTCTCTGGAACCAACTGTTGGCAAGCAGCTGAACGCCAAGAATCTGAAGAAGATGAAACTGATAGAGAATATCAGAAAGGAGCCCAACGTCACTCCTCTTGCTGACATCACCAGCAGAAGAGTCCCTCTGAGCGACTTTCCCATATTCTCTGAGATTGACTCTAAACCAGTCATCGTTCTCAGATACTTGGATGCGTGTAAAGCTGATGGCACAGATCCTGATCTGAACATCAAAGATCTGCACCAGCAAACACCAGAGGTTACTTTGAAGAAGAGTAAGAAGAGAAAGGCTGCTTCAGAAGGACCATCCCAGCAGACACCTAAGAAGAGAGGTAATCTATCTGCTGTTAATGTTTTAAATTCATCTGCTGTTCCAACATTGATTCCAACCCCAGCTTCATATGAACTCCCAATTCCCATACCAACCATTGATGATACCGAACCAGAGGTTGACCTTTCCGAGTCACTAACTCTCAGGAGATCCCGCAACAAACCTAAAAATCCAAAACCCACAACATCAACAGAATCAGAACTTGATAAAGTTCTTTCTGAAATTGATCAACGTTCTTTCGCTCCCCTCTCAGAAAATCTAAACACTCAACCAGAAACCGCCCATTCACCTCAACCAGAACACACACTCTCACTAATACCAGAAAATCCACAACCAGAAATTCCACAACCTCCCTCTCCATAACCAGAAACTCCACCTCCCTCTCCACAACCAGAACTTAATCCACCTTCACCTCAACCTTCACCTTAACAACCTGAGTCCCAACACTCTGAAACTCCATCACCTGAACCTCAAACCCCTGAACCTCATTCACCTGAAACCTCTGAACCATAACCCTTGGCAATTCAACTGCCTTGTGGTACAACTGTAAACATACCCCAACTGCCATCCTCACCAGAAACTACCCCTCCTAATACTCCAAACAGTCCAATAATCATTTCTGATTCTCCCACTCCATCTCCCAAACAAAATACAGAAGACCACAGAAAAACCTTCATCGATCTCACAGTCCTTGACCGTTTTGCTGCCATTATCAACAAAACCGCCATTCCAAAACCCAAACAACCAGATGTTGGTGCTAGTATTTTGAATTTTGAAACAGGCATGCAGAATTGGATTGCTTCTCTAAAGCAGGCGTGTCCTGGAATGATTGATCTTGCTGCTTCAGACCAACTCTGGACACAATTCAGAAGTTGCGTACGCACTGAAACCTTCAAGCTGCAAGACATAAACTATGAACAGGCTCAACAGAACTTTAGCAAACTGCTGAAAGAAGTTGAAGGTCCATTCATGAGTCAGCTGCTGAAGGAGGAAGTGCTCTTTCTGGATAGTGAGCCATGGTCTGAAAAGCGTCCAGCTTCAAAAGTTCAACTAGCAGAAGATCAGACAATTCAAGCTGAAGATGTTAGTCAAGAAGAAGATGTTGTAGAAAGCTCTCAGAAGCATCCTGATTCTGACGTCTCTCAAGCTGCTCTGGACAGGCAGACTCTTGAAGAGCTGAAGCAAAATGATATTCGTCTGCAGTAAAGAATGGATGAGAATGATCAACGGATGAAGGAAAGGATGGATGTGCAAGATGTCAAGATTGATACAGTAGTCAGCATGGTGCATCAGCAGAAGGAAACCGCTGATCAGATTAAGAACATGCTAGAAGCTCTGTTCACACGCTTTCCACCCCAACCTTAGATTTTTCATTCTTGATGTTTTCATTGTTTTCTTTCCATGTTTTATGAACTATCTTCTAAGCTTTGAATTAAATATAACAGTTTTTCTGCACTGATCGTTTTAACTTAAATTACTTGCACTTTTTGATTACTGACAAAAAGGGGGAGAAAAAGAATGATATTTTTCAATAAACGGATTACTGAGACAAAAGTCTCAAACATTCTAACACTCTGATATACTTGAATGTTTCCTTGTTCTGCTTAAGCTTACAGGTACAAGAAGTTAATTATCTCGGATACACTGAAGGTCTGCTCGAGTAAAAGAAAGATCTGATGTTAAAGGATTCAAGGAATTAAAAAGGGAAGTAATAAACTCAGGGGGAGTTTTTCTAATCATAATTCTGATAGTTTTCTTTCCTACCCTCCAAAACTCTGATACCTTTTAATTCTTCTTATCTTTGATACTATTTAATTCTGATATAATTTATTATTTGGTTATCTCTGATACTTTTCTCGTTAATTTTCTATTGAAAAAAATCTAGTTTTTGTCATCATCAAAAAGGGGGAGATTGTTAGAACAAAGTTTGAATCTACTACCCTAAGTTAAAGTTTTGATGATAACAAAATGCAAGAATATATAAATTGTATGATTCATGTAAGACATATATGCTACCTAAAAATTATGTTTTGTTTTACAGAAACTCCGATGAGTATCAGCATAAGAATATCATCATCAGCATCAGAAGATGAAATATCAACATCAGCATCAGAGGATGTTATATCAGATGCCAGAATCAGAAGATCAAAGCATGTGCTTACGCTGAAGCTTGATGAACAGATCTGCGCGTAACAATCTAAACTCTGATCAAGACAACAACAATTCATCAGCATCTAGCAGCGTCAGAATACGCCAAAGCCAGAACACGCTTAATTGGCAACTGTATTGTGCATTCAAGATACTTTATTATCAACGACATTATTCCAGACAAAGATCTTCTCAATATGGAAAGAATGTAATGGACATTGAAATGGCATAATTGGCTACAACGTATCTTTTCCACGTGCTATATAAACAAATCAGTGAGGAACGAATTGGCTAATGCTCTACAACTCTCTACACGCCTAAATCTATTCATATTCATCCTCTTTCCCAGTTTGCTAAAGCTCTCAAATTACTTATTCTATTGTTTTAGCATTCCTGTTCTCCTAAGCTTAATTTGTGTAGTATCACAATTGTGATAAACAGTTTTGTAGAAAACATTCAACACACTTAGATTTCATTTCTCTGTAAGAAAGTATTTCCTTGAGAAACCGGTTTGTGGTTTTGACTCAAGAAGGCTTTAGCAGTTGTTAAAGCAGTTGTAATATTCAGTTGAATATAGTGGATTAAGACCTCGTTGGAGAGAGGCGAAATCACCTTGACGG